AGAGTAATAAGTTTCAGCTTAACCATAGAGGGAGACATTGTACTCTGGTACATATCAGCGGGACTTTTTTTGCAAAACGGGGTCTCCATACTTTTGATCATTTGGTCTCATTGATGCAGCCCTGTGCTCCAGGATGATGCATGCGGGACACAAATATTATATAAAATCCTACAGTCACCCACGATTACTTATTATGGATGGACTCTATTTGAATAGCGACAGTTGAGATGACAAGATAGATGATTTTCGATTGTTCAGTTGGAAATATAATGCGAGGATATCAATGGCATGATGAAAGCTCATTGATCACTACGAAATTTTTGTTATTGTTATCATCGGGATTAGTCTTATTATTATTATGAGCCTGCTTATTTTATTATTATTATTATTGTTATTATTATCGTCATTATGATTATCGTTGTCATAAATGATAATTATCATCCCGCTAGGGACCACTTACCTTTTGAACATAGAACGGAATTCTCGCATTCGGAAGTAACACAACGGTTGTAGCAGTGAATGAAGACACATCAAAGATTGAAATATCCATCGCAGATAAAACATACTCCTTCTCGAGAGAATATTGCGAATGAAGGTGAACATTCTGAACGTGCACGATATCAATGTATTATCAATTAGCTGCCTTATCAATTTGGTTGTGAACAATTAGCTCTAAGATGGCTTTTATAGGTGGTCACTTGTAAGTTAAAACCAGAGATGTGCCATGATTGCAACCACAATGTAACAGGTAAAGATAATCAATTGATAACTGATAAAATGTAACAGGAACAATTGAAGATATTGATAACATCAGATGAGATTTCGAAACGAATTTGGCAAAGGAATCATTTTACCTTTTACCTTGTCAATTAAAAAAAAAGAATTTACCTTGTAAAAAAGGAAAAAAGAATTTTTTTAAACCTTGTCAATCTGCTAACGTAGAGAAATTGTATGGCGGAATATGAAATCAGATAAACCGTATAGATCATAATAACACTTCCAATCACAATCACATACTTATTTCGTTTGAGTATGTGTTTATGTGTTCGTTTTTGTTCACCTATAAGGAAACCATTTGATTTGACAAGATATTTGTGACAAGATAAATAGCCTAGGAATGGAATTAAGAACTCAGAAATGGTGAGGAATTGTTCGAATTTATGACAGACGGAAGATATAAAGGGCTTCGATCGAAACTCGTAGTTTACGAGCTACAGTTTCATTGAGATTATTCCTGTATCGTTGAATACCACATTAGAAACTTCTTGAGCTAACCGTTTTCTCCATTTATTTTGTATTCACCTGCTGCACACATCTGAAACAAAAGAGACTTTCTTCAACCACTGCATAGTTTTTAACACATAAAGTTAAACTTGAAAAAAATTATTCGGTTATTAATGGAGATTTTCTCCTAAGAGAATGATCATTTTCGTGCGGTAGATATTGGTTTTTCACAATGTTGCGGTTTAATCCATTTTTCTCATCTGTCAGATTAACAAATTATGTTTATCGAGTTACTCTTTTAATGAGTGTTAGTGCCAAATGAAAAGCCGACGCCATACGAAGTTGGTGACATGTGGAAGGTGATGAAGTTGACTCACCTGAGCATCACTCTTGATGATACGAGATATTACCCGTATAAGGGCCGTGTAACAAATTATCGATATTATCAGGCAAGTGAAGCAGAATACAATTACACCAACGTTGAAAACAAACTGCGAATCTAGAGATGTTCCGCTTCGCACGTAACAGGCTGCAACAAGCATGATTAGCATGAGCAATATTATCCTTTTCATTGGTATTATTATGATCATTGGTTACTGTTATGATCATCATTATTATAGGACGAAGAAATTAGGAGGAAGGTTTCCAAGGGGCGACTGAAACGCCATTGGAACAGGAATTTTTACAGAAAAATCGTTGAGAATTTGTCTTACATGATGGAAGTGGCTGCCGTGTTGAATTTGCTTCCAATGTAGCCTTTTTGCCTGAAAGCCGACGAATGAATCGAACAAAACTTTGAAGTATTCTTACAGCTACATCTTATATTATAGTATGCTCAAATCATTCATCAGTAATTGCAGTATATTACGAAGTTGCGACATTAACTCATTTCATTCAGCACAAGTTCACATTATCACAATCCCACAAATGAAATCTCCCGATGTTTCAATGAATTGGTTTGCGATGATAACGGGAAAAAAGATTAAGTTTGCGAAAAAAAACCTGTACAATGAATATTCTTTATGCTGGATGAATTTTTTAATATTCTGCATCGGATTAAGTTCGAAAAAGCGAACATTTTTCATTGGTATATCCACAGAAATGGACCCGTTTATCTATCAT